GATATTATATTTAAAAGTAAATATGTTTAACAAATGACTGTTCCATGTGTTTAAATAAATATTTGGTTATTTATGAAGTGGGTTGAGTATGCCCTGGAAATTTATTATAAAATTATACTTTAGACCTCCAGGTTTAGGTGTAGAAAATCAAAACAAGATAAATAATACGCAGGACCGAATAGAGGTACACAACTTACGCATTTTGAGGGTAAAAAAACATTAGGCATAATTTGAGTTTAAACAGCGCGTTATGGTTGATCATATTTAAAGAAATGTCCTTAAAATTCTTTTTTACAATTTAATAATTAATAACTGGAATTTTCATGCACAAAAATGTGCTTAAATCTAGTTTTAAATCTATGAAATTAAATTTATGTGTTTAACATTTTGCAGTTTCACAACTAATGAAAATGAATACGCCAGCCTTAATATGATGAAGTTCATTTATATTGGTATTAAAAATGTCAAACTTAGTTTTCACTGAACAATCTAATCTATTGAAAAAACATTGTTTGTAAAGAAATCTACTGTTAGTATTAAACTATATTTATATTAAATGAAGTGTGGGGGGGGGGGGACTTAAATACTTTATGCAAAAACCTTAGAACATTTATATTAAACTTCAATAAGCACTAGAAACAAATATGTAAATGAGAATTAAAACTTATTTCAGTTTTTTTGACAAGCATTTTTATTTATTAAGACCCCTTCAGAAGCAAAAAAGTGTGATAAAAAGATTATTTTACAAAAATCTATAAAGCAGTGAATTGAAGCATTCTTATGTTTTTTTTACAAGAAATAGTTTATTTGACTGATTCTGGGAAAATGCGCTGTACGAGGTTGCGTGATATTTTTCTTTCTTTCTTGTCGATTATATTTTTTTTTAACTCCAAGAGTTTTGTTTCAAATTGGTTTTAGGTCAAGACGGACAAACATCAAAATTGGTTCAGTTGTTGCTGAACCACTATCAGCAAAGAATAAACAAACAATTGTACAATCGCAATTCAAAAATTACAAAAATAAAATTAAAGAAGATGAAAATGGACCCCGAAGTTGGTTTTCATCTTCAAGTTTATGGGGAAAGATATCTGTTTTGTCATGTTCTTCTTATGTTTAAGTTTTTTTTGTGTGTACACTTTCCTGCACTTCACAATGGTATACATAATGCATACTATATGGAGATATTTTTTCCTTAAAAACAGTGAAAACAAATATTTTACTCCGGAACATGTGTTTAAAACAAACTTCAAAGTTGATTTCCGCCTTCTTTATTGGTAAGCAAAATTAGAGTTATGTTCAAAGCAGCTCATTGTATAATGTGAATTGTACTGTACTGTGTACGTTGTACTGTACTGTTTACATTGTTCTGTACTCTTTAATGTGTACATTGAATTGTACTGAGTACATTGTACTTTTTTATATCCATTGTACTGTACTGTATACATTGTACTGTACTGTGTACATTGTAATGTACTGTGTACATTGTAATGTACTCTGTACATTGTACTGTACTTTACTGTGTACATTGAACTGTACTGTGTACATTCTATTGTATGATGTACATTGTACTGTATCGTGAACATTGTACTTCACTGGTTACATTGTACTGTACTGTACTCTGTACATTGTACTGTACTGTAAGCTGTACATTGTACATTGTACTTTAAGCTGTACATTGTACATTGTACTTTAAGCTGTACATTTTACATTGTACTGTACTGTGAACCTAGTACTTGTGTTTCATAACTGACGGATGTGCTTCTCGCAGTATAAAATAGCAGGCCAGGAGAAATAAATAAATAGAGAATCTATTATTTTAATTGGAAAAATTAATCTTTTTCTCCATTAAATTTTATTCCTCCTTTTGGATCATTATTTCAGAGGTAACAATAATTCCAGTCAAAGGTTTATTTAAATCATATTTTTTAATTTGATGGATTTATTGTTTCTCTGGTCCTGGACTTTGGACGGAGAAATTACAGAAAATATCATTTACTCCAGGATTAAGATTGGCACTGAGATCATTGTGACTATATTTCCCATTGGATTGTTTTAAAAACGATTTGATTATTTAAAAATGGTCAAATTGTCAGGGTTTTCGAATTAAATACGCCTAAAAATATCAAAAGAAACTTTGAAGAATTTGCTTCAAAATATGACTGTCCTAAGTTTAAATTAATTCTACCTTTTCAAAAAATGACATTAAATAATAATAAGAATAATAAGAAAGAAGTTTATAGTTGCAAGGAAACAGACGGTATAAACTCCGTACAGTCGTTATTGAAGTCTCATCTTTTTTGGGTAACCCTGTAAATAGTCTTAAAATTTAAAATATTTGAAAAATCTAAAAATCTGTATTTTCTCCGTGTTGAGGATGACAAGACTCAGGACTGATTTTATATTATAGAATAATTACTTACATGAATAAGAGGCTTTTTCCCTACGTACTAATACGAGCTTAGTTAGTTTTATGTACAACAAATATTTTTTTAATCGACTTAGTCCACAGATTAATGTGTCCTATTTATACCTTAGACTAGTTAGACATTAATTATTTTAGATCAATTAATCAAGTTCGCCCCTCCCATTTGTAAACGCCAAAATATTTAATTATTTCAAAACCAGGATTAGTTCCATTTAATCTCACATCGCCTTTCTTTATTTTTTGGAAAGTTAATTAATTGATTGATTGATTGGTGAAACAAAATTTTAACAATTTTAACACTTTTTAACATGAATGAAATAAATAAACAGTGTAATTCTAAATACCTTAATCTTATCCTCTCCTTTGGTTTTAGTGTGTGTAGCAATCCTATGAACCCTCCAGATCTAAAACAGGATAAAAGTGGCACCCAGCTTCCTGATTTCAGATAAAATTTGATCTACCTTCGTAAACATAGCTCCATACCCCAGGGAGAACCCTAGGCTTAGAAGCCATTTAGGAGCAGCACATAGGGCAGGGAACATTGGGTCAGAAACCTAGAGAAATATTATTTTAATCAGATATATTTAGGAGCAGCACATAGGGCAGGGAACATTGGGTCAGAAACTTGGAGAAATATACTTTAATCAGATATATTTCGTGGTTTTTTATATCATTTTTTCTTTTTTCTTCCTTGAAATCATGTTTATTATTTTTGCTGAGTGAACATTTTCAAGAAAAAAAAGTAATTTGAAACTTGTGCGAGGTATTTTGTGAAGATTTTTTTTTGATTACTAGTATTTTTATTAATATCATTTTCGTTTATTTTGATAGAAATCATCCATCTATATACTTTACTTCTCTGTTTCTTTTTGTTTGTGTACAATAAACCTCAAAACGGCGGAACCGATCTGGCCCAAAATTTCTCTGGGACCTCACAAGACCCCAAGGAAGGTTTATGAATGATCAAAATAAAAAAATTAGCCTCAAACAAAATTCGATTTCCATAAATCTTTGAAAATCCACGCATTTTTTTTATAAATTCCGCAAAGTTTTTTTGTTTTTGGTTTACAATGTACACAAAGAGAAAATGTTTACAATTGAAATAGAAGATGGGCGCGAAGTGCCCTAAAAGCCTAGTTTATTATATTGGTAAAAGTGAAAATTTAATCGTAGAGAGAAAAAATTCTGAAATTGTACCTCCCCCCCCCCCATCCTAGGAAGGACGAATGTATATTGTATTCCCCTGGAATCCTAGAAGTGGGTAGTTACATCGCCAATTCCAACATTTGACAATAGACATTTTTTCAGCATTCTGCAATCTGCAACCTGCAGGCTTGGTGCAGTAGCTATTGCAGGTTTGCGAATAATATTCTGCGGGCACATTTTTGCACATGGTGAGTCCAATAATTGAGCTGCTGTAATAGGTATGAATTTGAGAATTTGAATTTGTTAGAAAGTAACTTGGATTTATAAATTACGAGAGTTAAAAAATACTGTCTTTACCGTGCAGACAGTAGACACCGTAATAGTTGTTTTTAAACTTTGCAGCTCATTTGCAAGGGAAACGCCCCCCCCTTTCCTTCTGGTTCACGCTGATTATTTCCTCTATTTTTTACCGGACGCTTTTCTTGGTTTTTATAACTCCTAATTTACAGTTTACTGCTAGTAACCCACTCTACCTCTGTTCGGGACTAATTGTCATAAAGAAATCGTGTAGGAATATACACTGATGGGGAGATGGGGGGGGGGGAGTTGGTGGGGAGGGGGAGCGAAGGTCGGCAAGGGTAAAGAACCATTTCAACATTTCCTAATTAGTTTCAAAGTATATAAATAGTAAAGGGGAGAACAGTATAGGCCATTTTCAAGCATTTCATGTCGATTTCTTCTTTATCAAGCTGAGGGCAAAATCTGGTAATAAACTCAGGAGCCAGAGTGGTGTAGAAATACCAGGCTATATAGGAGGGAGGGAGGAGCCAGAGTGGTGTAGAAATACCAAGCTGTAGAGTCAGCTCTAGGTTCTTAGCAACTCAAAATTGTTAAAACAGGTGGGAGTGGGAGAGAAATACCAGGATATATAGGTGGGAGTGTTAGAGAAATACCAGGATATACAGAAGGGAGTGTGAGAGAATTACCAGGATATATAGGTGGGAGTGTTAGAGAAATACCAGGATATACAGGAGGGAGTGTGAGAGAATTACCAGGATATATGGGAGGGAGTGTTAGAGAAATACCAGGATATATAGGTGGGAGTGTTAGAGAAATACCAGGATATACAGGAGGGAGTGTTAGAGAAATACCAGGATATATAGGTGGGAGTGTTAGAGAAATACCAGGATATACAG